CGCTCGCTCCGTCGCATTCCCTGTGCATCCTGTAGCAGGCCTGTGTACCAACACTACATTACATACCCTACCATGCAGGCAGCAGTCCTCCGGTTGTGGTCAGTCGTTCTACTTTTTTCGAGCCCCGTATCTATGCACGCATGTATTGTGTTCGCGTGTACATACATATATACACATATCTATATCTATATCTATATCTATATCTATATATATATATAATCATCTATATATGTATATGTGCATGTATACGGATATGGCACCACTCACCCCCCCTACCCAAATGATCCGTTCGCTTCATAAAGCCTCGTCCCGCATGGTCACTCAGACGACACTACACCGCACATTCACAAGAACAACCTTCCGTGAGCATTGCAACCGAGAAACAAAGCATGAACACGACACGATAATTAGGTTCAACATTGGGTCTGTCCCTTGAATGAAGCATTGAGAGTGGAAGATCTCGCGTATTTGTTTGGAGAACCACCCGTCTTCGACGCTGAAGAAGCGGGAACATCCATGTCAAATTGCGGAGGTGTTTCTGTTGCTATTGAATTTTCCAGGTTGGTCTATAACTCCTTTGTTTTGGTGGATGAATAGCTTGAAGGCTTGCTAGTTTTATGCTTTAGTGACTTTATTGGCTCGCACCCCGCATGCGCGGACCCTCTGCCCCAGGTTCTCTTTACTTCGAGGCAGTATACCGGAAGCACAGGCGACGTGGAGTGGAAACTCAAGGGCCTACAAAACAGAGCTGTGGCTTCACTGAGTTCACGGATGTCGTAATTAATGCCCAGAAATGATTTAAACAAGGATTTATGGGCAATGATTAAAGCCAACCCGAACCAGGACTTTGGAGATGTCCGGCGTTTGGGGAAGAACAGAAGGGGCTTAATGAAGGTTAAGGCAGGCAATATAAGAAATGCTCACTCCTAGATTGCGTGGGTCGAAACCTATGATAAGAATCAAAGTGTGTTGTTCTATGTTGCTTCGCGCACTATGCGGACAATGTCGGGGAATTTTGCCACTGGCTATAACAGGTGCAGTGAGGACGATAGCAGACTGAAGGGATGAATGATGGGGTTTGCATTGACGGGAGCAGGAGATATTCTTCAAGGGCACGGACTCATAGCACCTCATACAACATGGATTTGATCGCACAGTGGATATCAATATCACAAGTACAACGACTTAGATTCATGAGTTAGCTATGATTCCAGTATCTGGGTGCAAACTCTGGTTGTGCGGATAGCCATTGCTTTGGACTCCACGAAAGCTGCTTAACAGGCCTCATCACCTGGAACATAGAAGAACAACTACGAACAACCTTAAAGCAACTCTGTGTTGACATGCCGCTGTGTCAAGCACGATTTTTCGTTGTATTGTGACAAACAGACATGCAGTGGAATCTAGTCCATGCAATAAGGATGATGCTAGATAATTAACCAGGATGTCGCCGATGTCCAAAAACACAAGAAGGGGAGGGTCAAACAGAACCTGTGCATTGTACATATGAGGAAAGTAGGGAAGTTTTTGGAAACTCCGCGCCCTTCACATACAGATGAATGAGCTGAGTGATAGAAAGTTGTCTTGGTGAGAACCAGGGCTCCGGACTAGGATTACGTGTGTATGAGGTGAAAAATGCCTGCGATGAAAACCTCCGTTGCGCGAATTTGGGGCACCGGAAACCACCAGTACGTTCATAATCCCATCAACCAGTTCGTTTGGCCATATATACCGGTTTTACGGCCTTGCCTTGCCAATCATAATGGCACATTTGGTGGATTGACGGCTTCAGGGTTCAATGGCTGCGTTCCCGAACCGATAATAGGACTAATAGGAGCCGAATGAAATTTCTCGAAACATCTAAGCCTCGAACTACGCTCTGTCTGAGCATATGATACAGGCACACGAGTAAATTAAGAGAGTGCTGGTTACATGGGTGGAGTTCCTAGCCAGTCGTAAATCAAGAATGCAACGATCGGGAGGTAGTGGCCTGATTGAACAAATAGAGCTGACTCTGTGAAGGCTTTGAAGCCGTATAGACCAATCATTGGCAAAAGGGATACACGTTTCGCGTCTCTGGTGCGTCATGGGACTGCGCTAATGACTAGTGGATACATGGCGAGGGCCCGGGTACCTAATCAGTCATAGCGGCAGAATGAAAAATAGATCAGGGGATGAACGGCTTCGCGGTTTAGGGACCTGACCTGACTTGTTTCTTGCGGGTTGGTAGCTCTGGCGGCTAAAGGGTGCAAACGGGGCTTTGCCAACCCGAACGTGGTAGATCTTTGGGGTGGGAAGGCGAGCTCATACATAAGATGCATACTCATGTTTCAATGTATGTGTACTTATGTAAAAGTGTGTATAAACATGTACATATATACGCACAGACTTAGGACCAGTGGATGACAATATAAGAATCAGACTGTACGAAGATACTAGAACTGACATGTGGATGGGGTTTAGCGTGATAACATTGGTCCTGATCAATGGCGACGGCAACAACCATTAGTCATTAGTCTCGCCGGTGCAATTCTATTTGGTGAACTATTTTGAACTCGGGCAAGCCAGGTTCAGGGACACTCCCGTAGTTCATCCTCCACATATATACTATAGTTAGGCAAGTCAACTAGTCAGTGCAACATATTCCCGCAAGGCACATGCATTCAACCCTAGAAAGGCAGCTGCTCAGAGTTGGCTTCGCCCCGGTGGGGTTCAATCTAATCAGCCATTCGATTGCTTCGGGGATTCTGATGCTGGCAAGCGCGGCTATCTCATCCGATGGTGGGAAAAAAGGCTTCTTGGCAAGGGTTTATAAGAACAGAAATTGAATTTTGAGTTTGTACAAACACCTTGAAAAGCTAGACCCTGCAGGCTCAACAACGTCTAAACCCTGCCCAGGCACAACAAGATAAAGCCTTGTACAAACGAGAACAGAGCCCAAGCCTGGTACTTCTCCTAGTTGAACGCTATCATTTTCTTCATAGGCATTCAATCTTTAGTCATCAATGTTTTTGGTTTTCCTTTTCTGACAACCTGAAACGTGAAAACCTAAAACCTTAAACTCGTGCTTTGAAGCCATACGAATGGCGATATCGCGGCCCTACGAGGCGAGAGAAATTGCTCTAGGATGTCGTGGGACAATTACGTAGGAGATAGTGCTTACTAGAGGCATTTACAATGCTACTAAATCGTCCACGCCACCTATTATTGCTTTCCTACCGTGGAAGCATGAGCTATTTAGGGAAGCATCCGCCATTTGATGGAATCATGCGCTAGTTTATGGAAGCAGCTTCCATTTTATGTCAGCAGCCGCCGCTTATGGATTATGAATGATTATGAGATAGCTACAGGAATCGCGAGCATACGCTCGGTAGGCATGTATATCTGTACTTGTCTCATCTTAATGCAAAAGATGCACTATCTGCAATCTTTGGATATACCGCGGTAGATAAATGTGGCGTAAATGTGCCGAACGACGTAAATGTGTGTACTCCATGTCGTGCTTGTCGTCGTAGTGATCATATAAACATATAGAGATATACATACCGTGACAAACATTATGCAAAAACACATATGTGTGTACATATATATATATATAATACATATATTTCACATTGATTTTGCAAACCGTGTATAACATACACGCATATATGCACATATAAGATACAAGTGTGTTGGCAGATATACAGTGTATGATTGCATTGTTATGAATATCCAGTTATAAACAACAAACATATAGATGTGTCTTGTAGTACCAGCAGATATCCAAACTAGTATGTTATATTATATGCATGTATAAAGTACTTAGCATATAGTATATCGTATACAGTATGTAGTAAACAGTATACAGTATATAGTGTTAGAACAAAGTTCTTAGTATAAAGTATAAAGTCTATAATAGATAGTATAAGTATATACAATATACATAAATCTATAGAGAGAGAGTATATATATATATACATGTATACTTAGTGTATATATAGTTTTTGAACCGTGTATATAAAGAGCATATAGTATGTAGTATATCGTGAATAATAAACAGTTTATGTATAAGTATAAAGTATATCGCAAATAGTATATAGTGTAAACATGTGTATATATATGTATATATATATATACATCTATATCTATATGTATGTATTGTGAAATTTGCACATAGGTAGTGTAAAGAAAGAATATATACACAGTGCTTGAAGTATAAGTACACGGTATACGTAGATATAGTATGTGTATATATATATATATAAAGATAAAAGTTTGGATATACAGCGTTATGTGTATATATATATATATATACATACATCGTGCACATATACGATATGTATATATGTATGTATAATATATAATATATAATATAAGTAGTATATATACATATACATATACATAGAACGAGGTTACATGTACATATATACATATATACATATATACATATATACATATATACATATATATATATATGTATATGTTGTGTAGATATAGTAAAATATATAGTAACTAGTATAAACGTAGCATAAATATAGTATACATATAGTATAAACATAGTATATTAATAGTATAATGACCCCAATTATGGAACCATAAATGCCGCAAAACCAGGCTACGCAAATGTAGGCGAAATCCAAGGTCATCGACGCAAAGTAGTATCATGACCCAGGATTTTGAAGGCACACGCTAATGACCTCATATTTTGAAGGCGCCGGATCGGGAGGGTATCTTATAAGAGCCCCCATTGGGCCAGTAAGTACTGCGCAAGGAAACCCCCGTCGGACCCCTAACCCCTAAACCCCCAAACCCTAAACCCTAAACCCCTAAACCCCTAAACCCTAAATCCCTAAACCCCTAAACCCTAAACCCTGAACCCCTAAACCCCTAAACCCCTAAACCCCAAACCCCGAAACCCTAAACCCTAAACCCCTAAACCCTAAACCCTGAACCCCTAAACCCTAAGCCCCATAAACTCTAAACCCCTAAACCACTAAAACCCTAAACCTTCGACCGACCTGGGGGCACCAGGTGTCAACATCAACGGTGAGGAAAAGCAGGGGGAGCTCCGTCTCGGCAAACTGCTTCAGCAGGAAGAAGCCACCTCGGTGCTTTCTAGGATGCCCCGGAACCTAGGAATAAAAAGGGCTCCCTTTTTGATATTGAGCGTCAAACTGCCATTCTTACCCAAACATACATGCATACTGGGTAACGCTATAAGGAACCTAGGACTACAAAAAGGGAGTAAGGGTAGTACTGGGCATCCCAGTTTAGCTTCGCTCTGGCATGTGGGAGCTTTGCGAATTTGAGGTTTCGGGTAGGCGGTTTAGGGGCGTAATTGGGGTTGAGGTGCTCGGGCCTGTACAGCTTAACGGCACGCCCATCCTAAAGCCCTAAACACCCTGAACCTTCAGCCATAAGTTCTTGTAGCTCTACTACGCCCTCATAAAGGGGCCTTCAGAATTACAATACTGCTTGAAGCATCTACTCTACTATTCCATTAGAATAAGAAGCCGAAGACAATATAGGTAGGCCCCGATATTACCCAATTGAGGTTTTAGTGTTTAGGTCCAACCGTTTGCAAAGCTGCTGTCTTCACTTCCCGGAAGCAACCTCAGCTCCGTGGCAGACCGACGTTCAACGACGGCAACATGCAAACAAACCTACTTTGGGGGGCGTTGATAGTTAGGACAGGGCTTGGGGGGAATATTATACTATAACTATGATAAGGAACCCCACAAACTCTATTCTAATTGGTGAGGTCCCTACATTTATTGAGGGCTTCAGGGGTTTCGGGCTTCGTGGGGCTGAGCTGCCGGACATGGTCCGGACACTTACGCTTTCAAAGAAATCTCAGAATGGCTTTATCAGCTTTCTGCAGGTCTTCTGGAGGGGGACTATCTGTGATTGCTCGCACAACACCCAAACCCCAGTAACACAAGACAACCCTTGACTCAAGTGCTTGATGCATCTAAGTGACCCGGGGGTTGAAATAATTGTAATAATTTGGGACATGTCAGCACAACATACACAGCAGAGATAGCCAAGGACCAGGAGTTAGTATTGGGACCCTAAACCCAAAACCCTAAACCCTATGGTTCTCCGATCCGGATTAGGTTTCGAGGGCCGTGCATTTAGATCCGAATGCAGCGTCGAAAGTGGGTTGCTTTTGTGAGCCCGTGCTTGTCAAATCCATCTTACTATTTACTTGGGCGATATCTGGGTTCGTCGTCGTTCCCAATCCTGGCAGATTGCCTCCGACATGCAAAACTTTCGCAACATAGAGACATGCGCCAAGCTTATAAACCCTCTCTTTCAAATGAGTATTTAAATGTTGAGCCATTTTTCCGTCACGGACCCCCCAGTGTTGCACCAGGTTTCCGTTGACGGAAACCTGGCTCAACACTGGTCCCACCAGTGTTGCACCAGGTTTCCGTCAGGACCCCCCAGTGTTGCACCAGGTTTCCGTCAACGGAAACCTGGTGCAACACTGGTCCCACCAGTGTTGCACCAGGTTTCCGTCAGGACCCCAACCAGTGTTGCACCAGGTTTCCGTCAGGACGTGTTCCCAAGGACCTGGTGCAACACTGGTCCCACCAGTGTTGCACCAGGTTTCCGTCAGGTTTCCAGTCAGGACCCCCCAGTGTTGAGCCAGGTTTCCGTCAACGGAAGGACCTGTTGTTTCCGCAACGGAAACCTGGTGCAACACTGGTCCCACCAGTGTTGCACCAGGTTTCCGTCAGGACCCCCAGTGTTGCACCAGGTTTCCGTCAACGGAAACCTGGTGCAACACTGGTCCCACCAGTGTTGCACCAGGTTTCCGTCAGGACCCCCAGTGTTGCACCAGGTTTCCGTCAACGGAAACCTGGTGCAACACTGGTCCCACCAGTGTTGCACCAGGTTTCCGTCAGGACCCCCCAGTGTTGAGCCAGGTTTCCGTCAGGACCCCCCAGTGTTGAGCCAGGTTTCCGTCAGGACCCCCAGTGTTGCACCAGGTTTCCGTCAGGAGCCACCAGTGTTGAGCCAGGTTTCCGTCAGGACCCCCCAGTGTTGAGCCAGGTTTCCGTCAACGGAAACCTGGTGCAACACTGGTCCCACCAGTGTTGCACCAGGTTTTCGTCAGGACCCCAGGGGTTTGGGCTTTAGGGTTTAGGGCCTAAGGTTTGGGCTTTAGGGTTTAGGGCTCAGGGTTTGGCCTTTAGGGTTTAGGGCCTAGGGTTTGGGCTATAGGGTTTAGGGCCTAGGACTTTGAGGTTTAGGGTTTAGCGCTTGGGCTTTAGGGTTTAGGGCCTAGGGTTTGGGCTTTAGGGTTTAGGGCCTAGGGTTTGGGCTTTAGGGTTTAGGGCCTAGGGTTTGGGCTTTAGGGTTTAGGGCCTAGGCCTAGGGTTTGGGCTTTAGGGTTTAGGGCCTAGGCCTAGGGTTTGGGCTTTAGGGTTTAGGGCCTAGGGTTTGGGCTTTAGAGTTTAGGGCCTAGGGTTTTGGGCTTTAGGCTTTAGGGCCTAGGGCTTTAGGGTTAGGGTTTAGCGCTTGGGCTTTAGGGTTTAGAGCCTAGGATTTGGCTTTTAGGGTTTAAGGCCTAGGGTTTGTTTGGGCTTTAGGGTTTAGGACCTAGGGTTTGGGCTTTAAGTTTAAGGCCTAGGGTTTGGGCTTTAGGGTTTAGGGCCTAGGGTTTGGGCTTTAGTGTGTCATGCTTCTTTCTGTAAGGCAAAAAGATGACACATATCCGGCCTGAAATGTGTCATGCTTTTTCTGTAAGGCGGAAAAGATGACACATTTCCGGCTTGAAATGTGTCATGTTTCTTTCTGTAAGGCGGAAACGATGACACTCTGCAAGGCGGAAAAAATGACACATTTCCGGCCTGAAATGTGTCATGCTTCTTTCTGTACTACAGCAATAGAAACATAAGTATATGCTAGAAATCAAGGTGTAGGGTTTGAGGTTTGATGTCGTCTGAGGGTAACGAAAAAAATTTTCTAACTCTTATGTATTGGGATTCTTTGGGTGGGTGGGTATTCTTCCAGGTTCTTACTAGCGAACTTGACTAGATACTGCTCGACCAGAGCTGCTGAACCCTAAACCCTAAACCCTGTATATATGGCGCCTGTCGAAATTAAGGGTTCTTTGGGCTACGTATGGTCCCCTCCTTTCGGAAGCTGGTATCTGCCATGTGGACTGGTCAGTTTTCCTGAGTTCGACCTTCGTGCCTTCAGCTCTTTCCTAGTCTCTAAAGAATGCCAACAAGCTCATTTAAGTCTGCCGCCGCCAAACTATTCTTGATGAAGTCCCTTGTTTTCTTCTCTTACATCTCAGTCTCAGGGCTCTAAATTAGATCCTCGCAATGTAGCAGTCCTGCTTCTGGAGGAGTCGACATCAAGCCAAAGCAAGAAACGCAAGCGGGACGAGTGGCTGGTTGAATTCGCTGATGCTCATGAAGGCCAAGCCTAGGAAGGGGGAGCGCGGCAGTGATGAAAGCTTGGCTTTGAGGTACGAAAAGGTGTGAGCCGAGTCCCCGTACATGCATGCACCCGATAGACTCTCGAAGCCGGAGGTTTAGGGCTTTTTTTAGTGCAACAACGCCCCTTTCTCCAAGCGAGGTTTAGGCTTTAGGGTTTCGGTAGTACCAGACACCTCCCCGGGTTGGAGCAGCTTCAACAGTTTCGACTGGTATCACCTGTCCCGATACGAAGTCTTCGCCCCTCATGGCTTTTGCCGAGAGACTTCCCTCTGAACATCCTGCTGCTTCTTCGCCCCTAAACCCTAAGCCCCTAAACCCTTGCAACCCTAAACACGGCTGCTGCGATCCAGGGCACTCTCGAAATGATGCGCCTGCTTCCCAAAGGTGCCTTGGAACCCGAAAATTCGGGGTACCTTATTTTGGGGTGCCTGAGGATCCTAATATTTGGGGTACTATATCCTACTTGTCGGGTATCATGGGGAACTAAAGGTTAACCTTTTTGGTTATACAGGGATTATACAGGGGCTGTACTACCCAAAACAGGTTAAAGGTTACATACTCTACTACTAGGATATTAGGGTCCTTGCAACAGAGCTTGCAACCGGCTGGAGGAGGTATACCGAAGCCTTTCTCTATCGTTCCTCCTTCTTCCAAGTATTCCTGACATTCTGAAGACCGAGTTCTCTGGTGCTAACCATTACCATGCGTCGACCTGTCGTGTGAAGAGTTTGGGATCGTCCCTAGCTCCACAAAGTACAGAAACCGTAAGCCCGACGCCTTGAACTTCAAAGCCCTATCCCTATACCCTATAGGCCCTAAACCCAAACCCAGGACTGCGCCTTGCAAAGCAACGCCAATTCCTTCTGTCACGCTAGAGCAACCATGTGCGGCTGTAGGGAACACTAGACTACCACAGGGGCCTTAATAGGAATAGTTGGGGTATATTACACTAGAATTACAGTACGGAACGCCCAAAACAGATAGGCAATTATCAAGGCCCCTATAGTTAGCGTGCTAAAAGGCCTTCATGGGGCGTTCGCAAGTTCTTTTGTATCGGGCTCCAAGGACCCTGAATGATTCGAAATGGGCTTTGGGCATAGCATAGTACAGCTATGAAGGCACGCTGAGGGGATAATGACTCCGCATATAAGTATGCCAACCCATGCAATATGTCGACAGCAAAACACACATCAACAGGTTTCGTCCACAGTAATAAGACAGCCCGAAGTGAGAGGTAACGAAAAGTAAGTCGCATCACCACAGTCTTACTACATCGCCATGCATGACTGCAGTGGCCAGCGAAAGTTCTTAAGTCTTTCAACCCTCAGTTCCCAATCCAACCGGTGCCCTGAACTCAAATTCAAAACGTCCGAAGACCCCACCCAAAGAGTCCACACGAAATTGAATTCAAGCATTGTTTTTTGGGACGTAAAGAGGGATGTCGTGCGATTTGAGGTATGTTTTGGCAGTCCCTAGTACGATCTTCGATTATTCGTAAACCCTACAAAATACCCTAGCCTACACCGTACCCTCCAAACCCCAAGCCCTCTTGGCTTGAACATAAAGTACATCGCTAGATCATACTGTCGTAGGTTGTCCTGCGTTATATGCTGTTATATCATACAATACCTAGTTGTGGCAGGCTATGTTCCATTATATCTGATTATATATACATAATACGACGTTATCCTTACAGGGGTTCTGGGGGCTTCTGGCTAACGACTTGACGAGGGTCTCAGCAGCTGCTTTGCTTCGGGGGAGTCGCGCTCGGCTCCCTGGGAAAGGGCAACCTTCTCCTGCACAAGCGGTCCAGGGGTTAGCGTTTGAGGTTTAAGGATTTTCAGGGGTTGGTCCTCCTATAAGGGCTTTAGGCAATTATGTGGATTCTATGAGTTTTAAGAGCTTTTGTAGGCCTGAGAAACAGGCTCAAAGGATTGCTCGCGGAACTTCGGGTCGAGGGTCGTGAAATCAACGCGGCGGACGCATGGAGTTTCGGGGAGTCTTGGTAGTTGGATGAAGTGCGGTTTAGGAAATTAGGGTTCTAGGGGCTGCAGAACCTGAAGCCCTCAACCCTGCACCAGGAGGGGCAGTATGGGAGGCCCAAAATAAAGCGTGCTCCTGGTCGAGAAAAGGGTTTGCTTGCTTGTTTTTGGATGCATGGTATGCCATGCTTTATTTGTATACATGTCGTAAGGACCCTACACGGGTTTGTCTCGCCAACTGCTCGTACACCTCCAAGGCTGCTCCAGCAACTCACCGAATACAACGCTCCTGAACCTTTGTAACACCCTCTAGCTGAGGGACCGGGACCCCTCAAACACCTGACGGAAACGCTATACACCACTATGACGCACTTTCCAATTTCCGCCTACACCGCTCAAAGCTTTATGGAAAGCTCCCAATATGTGGGCCTTAATAATTAGAATAGGGTTTTGGGGCCCATTATGCTACACATACTATAAGGAACCCCCCAACATAGTATTGGTAACTATTTCGGCCCCTATACTTGGGAGTTAGGATTAGGGGGACCCTTGGGGATATAGACCCTCTCAATAAGGCCCCTTTAAAGAGAGCCAGAAGCAGGGTTCAGAAGGGGTACCCTTTAAGGGGTCTCCCTAACAATACTACCTAATAGTACAGAACTCGACGTTGGCAAACTCGTCCTGGAGGCTCTCGGGTAGCAACGTCAACAGATTTGCCAAGCCTGTGCTGTTCAAGGCGATTCACCAAACTGTGCAGGATTTCGGGTTTAGGGTGCAGGATTTCAGGGGCTTTGTATGAGTGTTGTTTTCCGGTTTGGTCTGGGCTCCACAAGGGTGCCCCAGTTTACAGTTCAGGGGCAAAGGGTTTAGGGATGGCGGCTGTGGGTTTAGAGTTTAGAGCTTGTCGTGTGTTGTTCAGAATTTTTAGGGATTGCTTCAAGCCTAACACACAGCAACGCAGCGATGGCTGAAACTGCTAGCTGCTAGCAAATTCGTGTCATATAGGGGCCAAACAAATTACCAATACTGTTTTGGAGGGTTCCTTATTATGATTTTAGTATCATGGGCCCCCAAGCCCTATTCTAATTATTTAAGGTCCCTATATTACATGCATGCGTGCGTTCGTGCGGGCATCCTATCATATACAGAACTGGCGTATGCACATGCGGTACCGAACATGGCCGCGCGACTTCTTGCAGCAACCATGCTGTGTGGGTTCGACCCTTGCTGATGAGTTGCTTGTCTCCAAGTGCCTAAGACATGAAAAAGGAAGTGATCTTGCCAAGCCGACGTTGCTTAATGCAGGGGCCTTAATAATCAGAATGGGGTTCTGGGGCCCATCATGCTATATGATTACAATAAGCAACCCCCAAAAAAACAAGTATGTATAGGTAATTATTCAAGTCTCTATAAAATAGAACCCTACTATAGCTCCCTTATAGACCCTTTTGAAGGATCCCTTTAACGGAACCGTAAGGAATAATTAAGAAGGCCCCTATACTACCGACGATTTGAGGCGATCTCTCCATAGGCCTGGCACAGCCACTTGTCCCCAGGGTGACAGAACCAGCTCGCGCAAGGTCCTCTGCCGTGACCTGAGACGATGCAGGGTTTAGGCTTTAGGGTTTAATTGGGGGTTTAGGATTTAGGGGTTGACTTAAGAGTTTAGGGTTTAGGGGTCTTGTGCCGCGACCTGAAACGATTTCGAGACGGCCGTTTCGAGATGTGGACGACAGTGTGAAACTGCTTTCGGCTTTGAGGCACAGAAACAGGAAAACCCTAAACCTTCTACGCCCTAAACCCTGAACGAAAAAGGTGCAGGGTCCAAGATCTAGGATGTGCTGCGCGCTCTACGCAGGTCTTGTATCGTGGGGCTCCTCAGAGAGGCGGGTCGGGGGTCAAGGAGACTCGAGGGCGGCAACACTCAATATGTTTGAGAACCTGAAGGACCAAATGACCCTTAAAAGTAGGGGCCCTATACCCATATACTATGAATCCCTATATGGTATATGAACCTTAAACCCTTTTAGGGTTCATTTCGTCCTTAAGGAATAAAGCAATTCAGGGTTTAAAGCTCGGAACGAGGAGGATCGGTCCCGGGAATAGAGATGGCGGAAATAATGATACTACTATACAATTAGAAGTTCAACTTACGTTATACGGGCTACAACAAAAAGAACGGACTACCACAGTAAGGGACTTCCCATATCAAAGCCAGTAGATCACAACACCCCTCGACCGCTCACCTGGAAGAAGCCCTAAGCCGGAAGCCCTCAAAAGCAAACCGAAAAGCCCGCAAAACCCTACATAGAACGCAGAGTGTAGTAGCCCTGACGACAACTTTAAAGGAGCCCCGAAAGGAGACCCCTTAAAGGAATCCCGAAAGGATCCCCTGTAAGAGGTCCTTTAGGGTTGTCTTTCAGGGCTTCATGGGTTCCTTAGGCTGGATCCTTCAGGGATTCCTATAAAGGAACCCATAAAGTATTCTCCACACAAAGCCAAGGCGCTGATCACTTTCGACATCAATCTCCAAAAACGGCATGGCCAACACCTGGAGACCCCGAACTCCAAACTTCATAAACCCTGAACCCCAAGACCCCTAAAAAGGGTGTAGGACTTCATGGTTTAGGGTTTCTTGGATCCATGTATAGACTATATAATGAAGTTTTTGGTTGGACTTAGTTGCTTTAGTTTTGCTGTAGGATTCATTGAACGATAGGCTTTTACCACCCTAGACCCTTGCCACCTATGGTAAGCATTTATTTGTAGGGTTTAGGGTTTAAGGTTGAGGGTGTGTGGGGTCCTCTAACTCTGAAACCCCGATAGATCAGTACCAGTCGCAGCGAGGAAGCGGCGATCGTGCCAGAGTGGTCGCCTCTGCAGTCGCCGGAGCATGCACCAAGCACCTGCCACAAAGTTTCAGAAACTGCGGGGCCTAGGACCCCCAAATACAGGAAGTCTTTAAAAAGCCTTTATGGTATCGCGACCGGCCTCCTCGCAAACGAAGGACCCCTGTACCCCCAGCACTAAGAAACCCCAGTCTCAACATGAGCGAGGGATGGCCAGTGTTGGGTGGAATTCCGGTTTGTGATTTGCTCGGCTTATCCCGTGCCTTGTGATGTATGTAGGGCCTAGGGTCGCGAACCCTTCCGCACAAAGATACAGCAGACGTGCGGAAGCTACGAGTTGAGCCGGGGAGGGGCCGAGTTAAGTAAACCCCTGACACAAGTAGGAGACCTACGACAATCTCATCGTTAAGAGAGGGGGGGTTCATTCATTAAAGGTCTACATCAGTACATGGAAAACCCTAGACCCTGAACCCCAAACCCTGAACCCTCAAACCCTGAACCCAAAACCCTAAACCCTGAACCTTAAACCGTGGCTCGACAGGAGCCTGGAACCCATTAGTCGAGAAAATGGGCTGAATTGAGATGTGCTGGCCCTACGAAGTAGAACAAGCCGGTTTTGGGGTTTAGGGGGCCCGTGTTGAACCTACATTTTTAGGGCCCCCTAATATGATTTCTTTATACAAGTCCCTAAGAAGGTAGGTTATTTGGGGTTCAGGTAGGGGGTAGGGGAACGGAGCTCCTTTAAAGTGTTACAATTGCTGGTTTCAGTGGAGTTTCATATTTTCCTTTCTGCAGGCATTTTGGGGGGTTGGTATAGGAGCCTTAACGATTTGGTCAAAACATTTCGAATCACCTTCCAACCGCTGTAATTCAACCGTAAACTCTCTAACTAATCCCCTCGAAACGCTCCGGACCTTAAAGTCCTAAAGCCTCAAACCAAGAACCCCTAAACCTTAAAGCCCCTAAACCCTAAAGCTGTGCCTATTGAGTGTGCGACGAGCAAAACATTCTCGCTCGCGTCAATGAGTTCCTTCAGGGGCTGCGCGGTAGGGTTTAGGATTTTGGTTCAGGGTTTAAGGCTTGTAAAGCGGTTAAGCTCCAGGAGGTTTGGGGCCAAAAGACCCTCATCCAACAGCACCGACGTACAGGGTTCGGGGGTAGGTTTCAGGGCTTAGGCCTCTAGATCCTTCATGGCTTTCGGCTCGGGCCAACAGACATGCCCCCGCTAAACCCTGGTCCAGGTCCCGAGTTCAAAGCAGGGCTTCATGGGGGCTTAGGGGTTCAAGGCTTAAATATAGGGGGCGAACTGATTGCCAATGCAACTCTGGGGCTCCTTTATCAATGAGAAATATACATCTATAGTTGTAGAATAACACAATGTACCCCAAAATCCTATTCTAATTATCAAGGTCCCTGTATTAGGGGTTTATGGGGTGTCGAGCATGATGATATGATGCATATGTTCATGGTCTGACTCAATCTCCGAAGCCCGTTTAGTTGGGTTTAGGGTTTTGGGCCTAGAGGTTTAGGGGTTAGGGTTATAGTTTAGAAGGGGCCCCCACCCTGTAGTAGTGGTATAATAGGAATATAATAGGGCCCGAATATACTCCTTGTTTTTTCTGTCGAGGCTTGTGAGAATGCAAAAGCACGAGTAGAGGTACACTAGGACAGTGAGACAAGTTCAGCAGTCATTGAAGGTACATTATCTTCGAGAAATTTAGCGCTGTAATAAGTATACAGAAATGGAAAAACTTTGCACCAAACTTCCCAAGCAACAATGACGACATTACCGCGAGGAATACCTCGAGAGGCCGATGGCCTTTGGGACAGCGTCCCGATGTATCACTTACATGTTATGCAGCAAAAGGTCCTTGACGATTTCTGGCTGATTGTTTGATGCCATTTAGATGTTGTATATTATTGACGCCAAAGGCGTTAGCATCTCCATGGAGTATACTATATGCATCTTTATAGGCTTCGGTGGTCCAGTCTGCTTTGGGCCTGCCTGGCCGCCTTTTGGTGGGAGCTCTAGGTGTCAATCCGTCGGTTTTGAAAGTAATTTGAACTAGAGGGTCTGCTGGGCTGGCTCGCAATACGTGTCCAAAAATCCGAAACTTTGCTTTGCGCCATGTGTCCGCAAAGTGTTCAAAAGAACAGCCGTATTCGTTTCGTATTTTGTCATACATACTGACATTAGTCTGTTCTCTGTCTATATACTCCTTATAGTCACTATTCCAGGGTGGGGGCAGCTTCTAAGTTATAGTTGAAGACCCCCCCTCCTCTAATTTATTGGGACATCCCCTATGTCCAGATCCGTAGGGCACTGTAGGGTTTTGGGTTAGTGCTTGAGGGCTTGGGGGCTTACGGTCATTAAAGGTTGTTTCCAGGATTTTTTATAAACGTCCCCAGGGTTTCATGTCTAAGGGTTTTAAGTGTTAAACAAAGTCAGTGACTTTCGCGGTTTAGGTTTTTGTTCTTGCGTTATTTTAGGCATCAGAGTTCCCAGGCTTGCTCAAGCATCGGCGAGCCTCAAGGAGGTCCCCCAAAGACTCTGCTTCCTCCTCAATGGTCGCCACTCTGCTGGGTAAGGTCTCTGTCACGAAATTGCCTAGGCGATCTGTAGCGACTCTAGGGATAGTGACAGTGATTCGTATATATATATATAGCGGCGCGCGGCGTGAGCATATATGTATATAGATATTATATATATATATATATATATGGGTTACAACTTGCATACGGAATTCTAGAGAAGCTTTTTGAGAGTTAGTTGCCCGTGGGTTTGAGGCCCAACAGAGAGCCCCAAACCCTCAACCTCAAACCCTAAACCCGGTTTAGGGTCTAGGGTTTAGGGTTTCTAGTGAGAAGTGGGATTATACACGTCATAAGCAGGGTAGCTCTAGTTAAAACCCGTATTGGAGGGACTTACAACTCCACTGTAGACTCCAGTTCTAGACCTAAGAGTAACCTATGAACAAAGAAGGGTGCCCTCTCTCCTAGTCAAACGTTGAAAGATGCATAGACCCTCGACCCCTCGAGCAGTGCTTGGAAACTTGGACTGTTGATCCCGATGCTAATGCCGCCGCGTCGCTGTAGCCAAGGATGTGCCTGGGTGCAAACTTCTCAAAGACTTCAAAAGGAGTGTGGGACTGACCTCCAAACCATCAACCTGCAAACTTACGGCCCTCTCCCAACCCTAAAACTAAACCCCTAAATCTACACTTCTAAACCACCAAGACCCTATAAAACCCAGATCCTTTACCCCAAAAGCCGGCCGGAACTCTGGATCCCTGGAGCCTCTAAGCCTCGTAAGCCCTGAAGCCCCGAAGCTCGGGCTCCTCAACGCAACCGCTGTAAGATAGGGAGCCAATAATTAGAATCGTCGTCAGGATCCTGAGTGTACGAATGAAGCATTGCTTCGGGAACTCCAAACAGGATTACTACCCTTTAAAGGGGTCTGTAAGGGATCTACAAGGGTTCTGTGATATCGGGAACTTAATAACCAGAACAGGGCTATGGGGCCAATTATATATATATCATAATTAAATTAAGGACCCCCCTTCCCGCTCCAAAAAAAAATGGTAATTACTTAGGCCCCTACATTAGGGCTTCGGCTTTGAGGTGTCTGGGCTTCGATCCTGATTGCAGCGTTTTCTCCTCTCGGAGTTTAGGGTGTGTGGTTTGGGGTTTAGGTGGGAGCACCAACTTTTGGCTGGACGCCTGCCACCGCCTCTCTCGCCGGGTCGAGGAGTTCACAGCCGCTTCCGTCACTGGCACTGGTTTCCCACTTGTCGGGTATCATGAAGAACTAAAGGTTAACCTTTTGGTTATATAGGGATTCTGTAGGGGCTACACTACCCCAAAAAAGCTGAAGGTTACCTACTCTACTACTAGGGCTTTGTGGACCATTGCAGGCTCGGCTTTAGGGGCCTCAATAACTAGGACAGGGTCTTTGGGCCCATTATACTATGACCAGACCAAAATAAGGCACCCCCCGAACAAAAAAACAATAACATAGCATTGGTTTTTCTTCAGGCCTGTATATTAGTGCCTTGCGCTGTTTCGTGTGGGCGAGGTGGTTATCCCGGGTCTTGCCCAACTTGCGACTTGTGCCTTGAGCAACTTTACTTGCCATGCGTTTGGCCGTTCAATGAGCCTGACTGTCAAGGACCAAAAGCTTCTCAAGAGAAGCTCGATTTTTTGGGCCCGACTCTTCGCTGTCGGTGTGGCGACGTTGCTGCATGTCTTGGCGAGGAGTAGCATCACGGACGATGGCACTTGTCACAAGCTTTCGGAGCTGCTAACACTCGTCACACTGCTGTTCGCGCAGCGGCGCGCCGATCGGCAGCGTCTGCTTGTTCACGTTTCTTGTTCCAAAGCTGCAACACCTCGGTTTGCTCCTGTTCCGTGATTCCTTTGTTCCTGCCTCCGGCATTCACTTCTTCACTCGTCATGGTTTTATTGCCGCTCTGAGGCTTGAGGGACTTTCGCTCCCTTGCGGGGGATATTTACTTTTTCCTTGCACACGATTCGGCTGAACGGAACGCAGCCTCGTTCTCGGCCTGCATGATCTGGGCGTATGGAGGGAGAGAGAGACAGCGAGAGAGAGAGAGACAGAGAGAGTGAGTGACCAGGGGCTCTTAACTAATCCAAATGGCTTACAAAGGAAACTAGGGTCTTGGGCTACATCAAAGTAGAAGTATATCGGGGAGGATAACGATGGCGATCAGATAAGCCATCCAAGCCTATCTGTTGAAAGCCCTGAACCAAGACCATTACGGTTGAACCCTCAACTTTGAAACCTCAAACCCCACCCCAAACTTGTAAATCCTAAACCCTACTGTAGAGCCTACCCCCTAAAAAATCCATGAGGCCAAAATCTAAAGTCACCCTTGGAGGTGGTAACTCTATAAGAACCCGGAAAGTAACCCTTAAAGGAGCCCTGCTGCAAATCCCGAAAGTGGCCCGTTCTAACAACCCTATAAGAGCCCTTGTATTAACTTGTAACGGGGCACTTCTAGAAAAAACATAAGAGCTCTTATCGAGCCCTTCTACATGAGCCCTTAGAGTAACCCTACAAGAGCGTTTCCAGCCAAAAGAAGCCCGTGCCCAGTAAGTCTTATAAGTCACCCTGCAAGAGCCCTTACAGTAATATAGGGCCTTAACAATTTGAATGGGATTTCGAAGCCAGTTACGCTCTACTTATAATAAGGAACCCTCAAAATAGTATTGGCCTCTATATTACCCCCCCAACAGTCCGAGAGGCATCTTGGCATCTTCGGGAAGGGATCGCTGCAGGTCTGCAGGCACAGGTTATTGCAGGCTGCTGCTTTAGGCTTTCAGGAATCAGGGGTTGGTCAGGGTTTGGGGCTTACAGTAGGGCTTAAAGCTTAAGGATTGTCGGGTTTAGGGTTTAAACGGGGGTGAGGGTTTGAAGCTTCAGGGTCATTCGAAGGGTCTGCAAGGGTTTCCTAAAAAAGGTTTTTCCCGAAGGTTCGCGACGAACCACCCCCACACACAACTCACTAACCCCTAAACTCTAGACTCTAGGCTCTAAGCCCCTGAAACCCTAGCCTTCAAGCAACCGGAAACCGATGTGAAGAGCTTCTGGCCTTCAGCGAAGCTGCAGTACAAATGCGGGATGCCTGCTGCAAGCAGAAACTCATGCAACAAGCGTCGGTTCGGGAGTTCGTGGTTCAGGGTCTTGTCAGCCAGCTAACACGAAAACTGCAAACCCGAGACCTTGACCCTAAAACCGCAAACTCTAAAGCCTGAGCCCTTAACCCTAACCAGGGAGGCATAGAGACAGTGTGAAGTCTGAAAATCTAATTTGCGGCTCGGCTGCAATGCTCTCGCGGCTCTTGTTCGGCTGTGGATTACTGTCTGCCCTCGAGGCATCAAAGTGTAATATAGGGCTCTTAATAATTCGACTAGGGTTTCGGTGTATATTAAATGCACTTATACTGACGAACCCTAAGGAAAACCAGTCTCAGGATGTTAAGCTAGTCGATATTAGTTATTAGAGTCCAGGCTCTAGGGCTTAGGGCTTGGGGTTTGCTTGGATGCAGCTTGGCGTCTGCTGGGTAATTCATGCTAGTTTCAAAAAAACCTCCTGCTTCGTGTTGCAAGGATATTGCCAAGACTTGTCGTTTACTTCTATTCGCTCGCCCACCTCCCCTGCTGCTTCTGCCCGTGATGCTGCGCCGTACCAGTTCTTGTACACGAAGATTGGGCTAAGGCATGCGAGATTCTTGTTACTTGATATGGGTACGTGGTACTGAAGGCCTCTAGATGTGAGATCTGGGATCAAAGGCACATGATGCCTGGATTTCCCGGGACGACGACAACGTTCAGGGTCGATGCAGCCGACAAAGAAGGAAGGTGTAGGATCTCCATGCTTTGCCTCAGCTTTGTCTCAAAGTAAGCGCACGGAACTTCAGAAGACTCACACCTCAAACTGCCCCAGGCACGAATATGGGAGTTTCCGGAAATACACAAGGGAACCTAATATAGTACCGTAAATGGTGCCCAAATATAGTCACTTCTCGGAAACTCCCATACCCTAAACCCTGAACCCTTTATAGAGCCCCACCCTTCTAGATCCCTGCAAGGAACCCTTAGAGGATCTCGTTAAAGGTGCCCAGATATATGTTGAAAGGGTTCAACAACAAAATCGCAAACCTTCGGCGCCTCGGGCCCGATAATTGGGGGTACCGTATCTGAGGGACCTTATAATAAGGATCCTACCTTTTAGGGTACTATACTAGGGTCCCCTATTTCCGGAAGCTCCTATATTGGTTGCAGAGGGTGATCTTCGTACCTCTTGGTTTGAGGCAGGGCGGGCCTTGACATCCTAGCCAAGGGCGTGAACAAGGTAGGAACCTGACTAAGAAACCGTGGGCCTTTATTAGGATTCCTTAGATGAATCTTGGGGTTATCTTCTTAATCAGGTTCCTACGTTACTTCCATAAGGGAACCGAAGAAATACGACTGGCATTACCAGATATTCCAATCCCTCAGCTGGCAGAGATTGGGTTCACAGGGCCCAGCAGCCTCCGCGTATCCAGGGCGCCCTATAGCCCTCACCGAAACGAAGACTTCGTAGGATTGCCTCTTTCATCAGATATCCTTCTCCGATCTTACGGGCCTCAGTAACCAGAATGGGTTTTCCTGAAAACCCTACACCCTATAAATCCTAAACACTAAAAATCTTAAACCCTAAAAACCCCAAACCCTAAAAATCCTAAACCCTACACAAGAATAGGGTTTTGGGTGTATACCACCTTGTGGCATAACTTCAGCGACTCTGGGGCTCAGGGGAACCCTCAGACCTATATTTCAGATGCCTAGGGTTTAGGGTATAAAACCCCTAGAGTTTAGGGGTTTAGGGGGTTTAGGGGTTAGGGGGTTAGGGGGTTTAGGGGGTTATAGGGTTTAGGTTTTAGGGGTTTAAGGGGTTTAGGGCTTGGTTTTTAAACGCCCCTGTTTCCTACTGCAGTTGCGGTCAGAAGATGCCTTGCAGGCTGTGATAACTGGTATTATAAGAACGGTAAGTATACTTATAACCCATATATGGGGACTTGTAACCCCGCTTATAGCTACCCATGAACCTCCAAGTAGGGGGTTTAGTGTTTGGGGCTGAACTTCTATGGCCGAGGATGTGAGGTTCGAAAGGTCGCGGGCCTAGAAAGCCCGAGGAGATCAAGGGATATGGCATCAAGTGACCTAGGGTTTAGGGGTTTAGGGTTTAGGGGTATAGGGTTTAGGATGCGATATCGGCTGCTCATTATTCCACCGAAGCCGGACGAGTTTTTTTTTGTCCTGCGGCTGACACCATGTCGCGTGGAATCTCAGAGTAACAAATTGCCACACAGGCAGTCGGAATCCTGCAGCACACGTCTCGAGAATTACACTTTCTCCCCTAGCGTTCTTGTTGATTGCTGGATGTTAGAGTTTTCGTTTCGGTAGTTAGTCGTTAACTGTCGCTGCAATGTTCCAAGGTCTTTGAAGTTGAAAAGCCAGGTAGCGAGTAATATCTCTTGATGGTGCCATGCAGTCGTGCATGCAAGAAGATGCGCGACATTCTTTTCGATTTAACCGTGCTAAGACCTCCGCGGCCTTCGTCACTCGTCCAGTTGTATCGAAAGCCGGTTGCTGCGCCTGCCGTGCAACTGAAACAAAACGAGGTCGGACAAGCACCTGCCGGCCTCGCGGCAGTGTTTAGGTTGCCCAGCCGATCCTCGAGAAGTTCACACTGGTGCTTATCAAGAATTACATGCTTGGGGCGGCGCACTTGCAGTTGTGTGGGGGTGAGCGGTCGCAGCTCTCGGTCTGACAGCCTCGACTAGACCGCATCATTCTTGCAATGTTCGAGCTTTGGCTGTCCGATCCCGCATGCGAACGCAGAAGCTTTTTTCAGTGCCATTGGCACAAGCTCCGTTCAGACTGCTTCAGCGAAAGTGCTACGACCCGAGGCTCTGGCATTGGCTCCGGCAAGAAGTACTCCGCAGTGGAATTACTGCACATTCACGCGAAAGATTGTGTCATCCAGAATACGTACAGCTGAAGATGCATGCCTACCTGTTCTCGGACACTGCTTCCTGAATCACAGTCGGCCTGTTGGTACCGAAGAGCCAGGATCTCAGGGCGCGCGCCAAGTCCCTCGGCGGGCCCGTTCTGCTTATTCGAGGGTCTTCAATCACTTCGAGTTTCCGGCGTACTTTCCTCGAAGTCGTCATCTTGATGAAAGAAGCAATGATGCGTTCGCGTCAACCTCGGAATCAATGCAGTGCAGTTGACTTTGACCGTTGCCGGGCCGGACCAGTCGTCGATGTCGGCAACGCTGTTGTACAACCTGGGACAAGATGTTTACTGCCTTAGCCTCTCGGCACGATCTGTAGGCCGGCGGGGCGAAGTGGCTTTCTTCCGGACACCCGGCATCCACCGCCGAACGGACCATCCTGAGCGGTCCGAGTTTGATGCCGATCGTTGGCCGCTAACTAAGGCCGAAGCGTGGCGGCGATGGCCCCGATCCATAATCGCTTCACCTCCTTTCAAACAGCTCTAAATCTGGTTTGGGCTGGATGCTTCGGTTCGTGTTTTGGAGTACCTGCGGTCGGTCTCGGTTTTAACCGAGGTTGCTAGACACCGGAGAATCCTCATGAATCCAATGACCCTCTGGCTTCTGTCGGTTCTAGCGTCCGAAGCACTGTCGTAAAAAATTCTACCTGTGACAACCAATCGGACCGAGCGTTTATGTGGAGTTATAGAGCGGGGCGATTGGTAGCAACGAGAAACAGGGTTGTGGGGAGGTAGTCAAGGCTTTCCCGGCTAACAGGCTCGGACGAAATCAAAGCAGCATTATCGGTGCAGTTGCCAGCCTCGCGCTCGATGTCGAGCATCTCCCGAAAGTCGCAACCGGACTTAGCACGACGAGGGCTGCATTTTGCCATTGACCGTTCCTCAGGTCTGCACGGAATACATCAGTGGACCTCGTCGAAACCTCTTGCGGTCGCCTCGTCATGAAAGCCGCTCTGCTCGACTTAGTTTGCAAAGCAGTGACACCTCGGTCCCTGAAGTCGATAGGAGGAGGCGGCATTTTTGTGAAACCTCGCAAATCGACAAGTGCGTCGCCTAACCAGGGATTTCGGTGCAACTGAGGATTCGGCGACATGCCCGCGTTGGCGAAAAGTCGCAACTGCCGCTTGATCCAAAAGCCGCGCTGTCGATTGCAATCTTAAGTGCTTTCGTGGTTAACTGCTTTCCTTGTACAACAGCTACAACAGTCGCCATGTCAAGAATGCTCGACGTAGAAAGGGCTTCCACTTGTGCCGAAAAATGTTTTGTTTATCGCAATCACCCATTTACGGCAACGCGGAAGAAACCTGTGGGCAAAACCTCTTGCACTTTGGCATGATTGGTTGCGAAACCGAAGACAAAGAGAAGACGCCCACGACAACAGACCACGGCCGCGATGATAGCTGATGCTACTGCTGCCGAATCTCGGATCTGTTGTTGCTAACGCCAGCACTATGCATTTCATAACCCCGCCTGCGGCGCAAGCTTCCAAATCATGTAAACTCCGCTGATGGTCGCCCATTACGAGCGTACGGGCTAAAGACATTAGTCAACCAGGTAAGGATGAGTTCAACAACTACGATAAGGATAGTGTTTCAAGTAAAAATATGTGGAACAAATGTGTGTACATAGGTAATATAAACACAGGTATATATGTATAAGTACTATATAAATGTATATGTATGCACACATCTACGCCTATTCTGGTGGGTATATATATATATATGTTTATGTGTGAAGTGTATTCTAACCTGAAGTTTGATGCCCGAAATATATCGGGAAAGCCTGGGCTTCAATTTCACGTGAACCTCCCTTGGGGCTCGGGCTTTCAATTCAGAAAGACAAAATTCCAATGTAATTGTATTCCAGGAATAAGTGTGTTTCCAATCGCAAAGACATCGTACGTTCCAAATCTAGTCGAGAAGGAGTCTTAACACTTGTTGACGTAGTCTGCAATTCCCAGGCTTAAACAACAACGTAGATTATCACAACAGCCGAATGCAAAATAACGACGTATAGAATCAAACAAAACCTTGTTAAATCATATATATATATATATAATATGTATATACACGTGCATAGATATATAGTACATATGTGTACATATACCTTCTACAGAAGAAGCGTATATATCCATATACATATATATATATATATGTTTATATAAATACCGCACAAGACAAAATTCAATAGAATTTATTCGCGCAAAGAAATACATTTCACGTCGTAAAGAAATACTAGGTTGCAAATGTAGTCGGTGAAGTCGTCCAAGCACTTGTTTCACGTAGTCCTATTCGTTCTTAATCGACAAACTCGAGATTATTACTACATCCAGGTTCGCAATAGCGGCACGTAACATGTAGAAAAGCTGCTAAATCCCGTAGAATATATATATATATATATGTATATAAATACCGGACAAGTAAACGATAAAATTCAATAGAATCTATTCGTGCAAAGAAATACATCTCAAATCGTAAAGAAATACTATGTTGCAAATCCAGTCGGTGAAGTAGTCCAAACACTTGTTTCACGTAGTCCTGTTCGCCGTCTTAATCGACGAACCCGAGATTGTTACTACATCCAGGTTCGCAATCGCGGCACGTAAAATGTAGAAAAGTTCCACCCGTAGAAATATAGATATGTATATATATATATATGTATAAATAAAACAAACCATGTATACATACTATATATATATATATATATATGTATGTGTTTCTATGTATATAGATGTATTATATGTGCACATATACCTCATTCAAAAAATCTAGTTACAACAACGCCTTATGCACAACATGTTGGTGCGTCGTGAGTGCTTTTGGGATAAACTGAACACGCAACCTCTATGTTGAAACTTCTTTTTTCTATATATATCAAAAACCTTCTTGCCAAAAACCTTCTTGCTTTTGTTATCCCGGTGCCGGTTGCCCAAGTGGTCCGTCAACCGACGCGCTGACCTCAGTTGCGCATGGTTCGTCAACCAGCTCCGACTTTGCTCTAATCCAATACCCCGCGTTTGTTCGGTGGCTTCATGTGCTGGTAGATCAGCTCGTGTGGGGTGAAGCGCTTGGTCAGAAGGTTCCTGAGCGACAAGGCGTGAAGACAGTACTTATCGCGAGTCCAAGGCCCTGGCGGCTCCAGGCCAATAACGTCGCAATAGTGTTCGAGCCTCCTGCCAAGCGCGGTTGCGAAAGAAACGATACGAAGCTAAGCAACCGAACCGGGCCTGATACGGAACTCCATCACGAGCTGAGTAGCCACCACAAAGCGATCCCCGCTCGTCGTCGGCCAGTCGCGAACCTCAAAACAACTACGTATGTGCTCGTTCGATGCCGGTGGAATCCCGCCTTGGTGTATTCTGCATAGATGAAGTCGCCTGGCGATAAGATAGGGGGGAAAGAAAAATCAGTTGACATTTATCGCGAAAACCGAATAGGGGTTTAGGGTTTAAGGTTTACTAGGATGCCCAGTAACCTAGGAATAAAAAGGGATCCCTTTTTGGTATTGAAGGAACCCAGGACTACAAAAGGGGAATAAGGGTAGTACTGGGCATCCTAGTTAAGTGTCCCAAGCTCCGAAACATCATATACCCAACCAAAGACGAGTCCTACGCACGAATTAGACCTTACATGCAAGCTCTAAACTGCCACTATCCTAAAACCTGAACCCGTAAGCTTTCAACGGCCATTGCCCTAAATCCAGTGCCCGAGCCCAAACCCTAAACCCAAAACCCTATAAACCCTAGACGGCCATGCAAGCGCCTCCTGCGACCGAGACACTCATCGACTAACATCCTGCACGGCGTAGGAGCCTAAAAACATATGTTTTTCAAGGGCTCTTTGAAGGAAGTCATCATAAGAAACCCGACAAAGTAGGTTATGTAGCGCAATACTGAAATCAAAAAAGGAACGTCAAGAAGGTCGATTATTTAGGGTTCTTGCAAGTTTTTCTTCGGTTCCCCTTCAGGCTTCTGAATGCTGTTCACGAAAAATGAGCCGAGACCTGGGAAACGGTAACCATACAGCTTTGCAGTTGAAGATCTCTCTATCTTTGCTTTGCTCTGCTCGGGGTTTAAGGTGGGAGCAGAGATATCTCTCTCTCTCTCTCGCTGTCTCTGTTTCTGGACTCAAAAATCGTACATTATTCTCATTGTCGGTCCTTCTGAGTTACTGCTGACAATTCTGCAGCAGCTCTGCGTCCGACAGTTAGGCACTCCGATGGACGGTCACGGCGCCGGAACTTGATTTGCGGCTTAGCCTGGCAAGTTTGCGGCATAGTTCTTCTGCACACCGATGTCATCTTTTAGGACCGATGGTTCCTGATACTCCGCGAACTGTTGAGTAAAGCAGCATCAAGACCTCACTCATGGGTACTGTAGTGACAAGTGGGATAATACCATTCATAAGCAGGGTGGCTATAGCTATAACCCGTATTGTGGGGGCTTATAACTCCACTTATAACTACCCATGAACCTCCAAGCATCCTAAACCCCACCCTAAACCCTAAACAAGAGCAACTGCGCGAGTGTCAAGGCGAGCTGTGAATCCTCGAGCTAAAGAGCCTCCCAATCACACTGCAGCCTAAACCTTTGCTGTAAGAGATACTGCAAGGCTGCAATAGACCCCAACACCTTTGAAGTTTTGGGCGTTGAGGGTTCAGGGTTTAGGCTGGTTTTTAAGGGAGACCGATGGAAACGCGAGCTAAGGCACCCTAAAAACCTGTTAAGGGATACTCTAAGCTACCCGAACACCGTTCGAAGGACGCCGTAGGGCACCCTACTAGAAACCCCGAGCCAGACTCCCCAAGCGGAGAAGAGTCTCGAGGCCTCCAGCGTGGCGGCAGGGGCACGCGCGGATGCCCGATCTCCAGAAAGAGGTGACCGAACCTGAAGGTTTAGGGTCTTAGGGTTGAGGGTTTAGGGTCGGAAAGTCGAGCTAGGGTGCTTGAAGTTCGGGGCTCCTGGGCATGTGCTTAGGGCTTAGGGCTTACCTTGGTTTGGGGGTGTCGCGGTTCGGTTGAAAGGCTTTCGGTCCAAGTCCGGGGTTTCGGCTTCTGTGCGTTGCAGTGGGAAGTCCCGCATCTCATGCTTTCGTCCAGCGGTTGTGGCTTGTGAGGGAACGCTCTAGTGCTGTAGTATAAGGGCCTCAATAATTAGAATAGGGTTTTGGGGCCCATTATGCCATAATTACAATAAGGACCCCCAAAATGGTACAGGTAATTATTTAGGCCCCTATATTAGGCTGCAGAGTTGATAGTCGAGGGCTGAGTTTTTGTTTGGCTGACCCTCCGGGGTCGACATCTTCGGGTTAGAGATTCCGATTCGGTTTTTAGGTTTTGGGTCGGGTGAGACATTTTCAGTCGAGGCATAGCTGGCACAAGTAGCCTTGTCAATGTCGCATTGCACGTGAAGGTTCACGTCTCCCTTGGCCGTAAACCCTCAAACCCAGATAAAACAAAACTGAACCCTTAAGCCCTCGAAGCCTCGTTCCTATCAGAGAGATAAACTCCACCGAGACACCCTGCCGACGCTGCAAAGACCATCGCCAGGCCTCGGTTGTGACGCAGCTGGGCGTTTGGCTCAGTAAGTACGGTTGAACATCATGCAAAGACAGCTATACCTGCGTCACCTCATGATAGAAGCTTGTAGTGCACTACCCTAAGACAGCAACTAAACACCCCACAAAACCGTACCCGAAGACCTAAACCCAGAATCCGAAACCCCTCGGCCACGCTTCCAAGCTGCCACGGGCAAGCCTCGCTGGTGAAGCTTTGGAAAGGCGGGGAGGCCCTGAGACCGAGGACTTCCCTAAGGCTCCATGTACCCATATAGTACATACTTAGGCCTTAGAGTACCTATATAGGGACCGCTTTAAGGCTTAAGTATCTACTATAATAGTACATAGAGCCTTTGGGCTTCAGGAGTCAGAATTCAGGGTGTTGGGTTCAGGCTTCAGAGCTTAGGATTTGGGGCGGGCTTTGGGTTTTGAGGTTACGGTACAGGGTTTACGAAGAAACGAAACTGAATAGGAACAGGTAGAATTTGAAGGCTTCGGGTTTGGGAGGAAATTGAAAAGAAATAAGAACTACTGTAGGAGAAGTGCCCTAAGAGTAACACTGCCACCTTTTGCAGCTTGAAGCTAATGGGTCTCTGGATTGGGATTCTAGAGCCTCTGCGTTTGAAGGGTTCGGGGTTTCAGGTTGAGTGACTCGGGTGGATTTAGGAGATTCGGAGATGAATATGTAGGCCCCAAGCGAGTATCAAAGAAGCATAATTAGCCTGAGCCCTGAGCCCCTAAACTAATAATCCCTCACACCCCAAACCCTTCAACCCTAAAGGGAACTCCAGAAAGTTGGAATATGGTTTCAGGGTAGGTTCCCCTATAGTTTACCTTAAAGGGGTTACGATAATGATATTCCAACTTTCTGGCTTCTACTGTAACCCCTGAGCCCTAAACCCTAAACCCTTTCAAACACAGGAGCACCAAAGTGCGCTGAGTTTCACCAGGTGCCAGGAAACAGAAAATCGGTCACCGGTCGACAGGCCAGGCATGTCGGCTACGGCTCAACGGTTTAGGGTTGGTCTAGGGTTTAGGCCTTTTTGGTCTAAATATAGGGTTTTTAGGCTTTCGGGCGAAGTCCCATACCCTACAGGTTATAAGGAACAACCCTGAACATCCCAGATCCCTCACCAATTCATGGATCGATGCTAGGATACCCAGTAACCTAAGAATAAAAAGGCCTCTCTTTTTGGTATTGGGTAACTTTATAAGGAACCTAGGACTACAAAAAGGGAATAAGGGTACTACTGGGCATCCTAGGATGCAACCTGCAACTGCCAGGACCTTCCTCTCTCCTAGGTATTCAGTCACGGGTCTACGTGTTTGTGAGGCGGCTTACCGACAAGTAACTCGGCACGGTGCTATCTTTCGAACTGCCCCCCAGCCTCAACTAAGTAAGGTACAAAACTCATGCCTGCAAAAATCCTTAGATGGCTCTTGCCGTTATAAATGGACTCCAAGCGGCAACGAAAGCAAGCATGCCGGCACTTCTGGTAGGCCGAGGGATACAGTCCACTTGAGGTAGCTTCCATGCGCTGCATCGCTTCGTCAGGTGCGACGAGCAGTAAGCCCAACCCCGGAAAAATACATCCCACAGCGTGAAGCTTAAGGTTTAGAGTTTAGGAACCCAAACCCTATACACACAACCTGCAGTAGCACTGTGAAATGCAAGACCGAAACCAATTAAACAATGCAAACAACATCCGTCATATGGTATATCTATATGGTATAGTCCATTGCAACCTATTAATACATGCTGGGTGTTGATGCCGGATGCCTGCTGTGGCATGGTTCGTAGCTGCAAGCGATGCACCGACCCGTAAACTCTAAACCCGAAATCCCTACACCCCTATAGAAGCCTTTGTTGGGCTCCGAAAGTATAAAACTTTACCGAACGACGCAGAAGGAGACAAGCTGTTTGAGCATTGGGTTTAGAGGTTTTGGTTTAAGGATGCAGGGTTTAGGACCGGGTTCTTGGGGCGCAAACCCTAAACTCTAAATATGGCTTATGAGGGGTTTATGGTCGTTTTACAACTGAAGGTGTTATTACAGGGTCTCAGGAGGTCCATACAGTAAACCCCAAAAAGTTGGAAACCGCATTAAGGCAAAATACTGCTGGGATTCCCTATGCATTACTCTCAAGGATTGAGGCTATTGGGTTTCCAACTTTTGGGCTTCTACTGTATTCGTATTGTAGGGTAGCATACAAGCCCATCTTGGGGCTTGGCCACTCATTTGCGCTTGGGCCTTACTGCAAACAAGGGGCTGTACGGGACAAACCTTTGCTGACTGTGCACCCTGTGAAACCTACTAACCCTAGGAATCTAAGGACTCATAGATATTAAGGCTTTTGGGCCCAAAGACCCCTAGGAATCTAAGCACTCATGTATTAAGGCTTTTGGGCCCAAAGACCCCTAGGAATCTAAGGACTCATGTATTAAGGCTTTTGGGCCCAAAGGCCGCTTTTGTGCTATTTTGATGCCCAGGGTAAGACATAGAACCCAATGTCCCTACATCCCCACTGCCGAAGCCCTCGGCCCGAAACCCCAAAAGCCGAAACCCTAAACCCTCTGTTGAGTGCCCAGAGCCTCCCAAACCCCTTAATTAAGGAATACACCTTAATTTATATTAGGGATCCTATTATACTTTAAGGTATATTCCTTAGTTAAAGGGTTGTGGAGGCTCTGAGTGTAGTGCAGCTCAACCACGACGTCCATTGCAGGGAACCTTTCAGCCCAGGCGCCCTTTGGCAAGGACGCTTAAACTTAAACAGGATCCGTCTGAATATCATCGCCCAACAGGCCTTAGATACTGCTGATGGACAAAATCCTGCATTACTCTTTATAAGGAATATACCATAGTTCCCATAGTTTAGAGTCCTCAAGATCATGCAGGATTTTGTCCATCAACAGTTCGAACCTTACGGGATAGGTCTGAATGTGAGGCTTAGGTTCAGGGCTTTCGGGTTCAAGGCTCAGGGTTAGGAGGTTCATGCTTCATATTACCAAATAACCTTCCCCGCAATTCATTCTTGCAATGTATACAATAAGAACCCCAAGATCAAAGTTGGAAGAAGCAACCTGGCTGATTTTAGCAGCAAGTCTGTAACGACTGTATCGTACTTGGGCGCTGGCATGGGCTCTTCAACTACTGAGTACTGGGTACATGTGGACCATAAACCCTGAAAACTTAAACCCCTAAACCCATAAACCCGAACCGTACCCCTAAACCCATAAACCCTAAACCCCTAAACCCTACAAAAGCATAAACCCCAACCCCTAAACCCATGAACCCTAAACCCCTAAACCCTATAAACCCATAATCCCTTCCCCTGAACATTCAACCCCCCCTAATATAAAAACTGCCGGCCCTCGGAATTTCGCGGTTTCGGGGCCCACATTCAATTTAAAAGGGACAACATTAGGGGGGTGGCAGATCTGTATGTGCTTTCATTGAACGAAGACTACAGTAGTACTAAAGACAGCAGAGCTGTAGGGTTTAAGGGTTCAGGGCTCAGGGCTAAAGCTCTAGGGCTTGGGGCTTTAGGGCTTAAAGTTTAGGGCTGGAGGCTTAGGGTTTAGGGCTTTATTAGGGCTCCAGACTTAGGATAGCTAGCAGCTGGGAGTCCGGGTACGTGGATGCACCGAACCGAAACCCCCCCCTAATATAAAAACTAAACCTCCGAAATCCAGTTTTTATATTCGGGAGGGGGGGGCGTTTAATATTAGGGGGAAGGGATTAAACCCTAACCCCTAAACCCATAAACCCTAAAGCCAAAAACCCCTGAACCACACAAACCTAAGCCTTTCCCTTCTCTCTCCATAAAGATCTGCCTCGACTTGCGTCTGAGTGTGAGACTCGGGTTTTAGCAATCGAGGGGCGGACGCATCAAGAAACGGTTTGCGGTTCAGAGTTTAGGGCACTCTGAAAATCTTTTCTTCGGGGTGCTGCAGTTTGGGGATGTTCGGAGTTTAGGCTGACTAAACATTCGCAGCCCGCTCTTTCGTAAATCCACCGCGACGCCAAGCTCGGTCGACTTGCCACATCTGGTGCCTAAAGTCTTAAAGTTTCATCTCCGGGCTCTAGATGGTGGCTCATGGGTAGTTGTAAGCGGGGGTTACAGGTCCCCTAATCTGGGCTTTAACTAAAATAACCCTACTTACAATAAGTCGTATCACTTCAGAAAGTGTGGATTCCTGCATACCTGCACTTGCGTCTCTTGTATAGCTGCACTTCTATCTTCACACAAACTAACCGCCTTCAGCATATTGCCACTTGGTGCTGTACAGCGGCCGACACGCGGTCAAATCGACCAAACAAGGCCAAACACTTAGAAAGTGAAACATAACTTGGGCACATGCCACTGGAGCATGGGTTCAAGTTGCTTTGGGCAGTGTCTTAGGTCGGGCTATGTGCATGATAGCACAGAGTTCTTCCAAGCAGCGTTAAGCTTGCATGATCATCTGAGTCTGGGCAGAGGGCAAGCTCACTTAGCCCCGGCAAAGAAGACGCTGTAAGGTCTGACAACACTGAGACCAAACAATATACTTTGGGGCACCTGTCCCTCCTTCTGCCAATGATGCTCCATTACCCCTCCTACCTATACTTATAACCCCAATTAAGGTACTTATAACCCTACTTACTAAGTCCCATGATCCCTTAAGTGCTACGTCTTTAGGGTTTGGTGATCGAGGCTCCAAGTGCTTCTGGGTATGATGGCTCCGGCCCCTACCCCCACAAAGAATTCCGGCCCCTAAACCCTAAGGCATTTCAGCGCCTGCCGCAGATCAGGATTCAGGGAGGCTCTGACTTGCCCTAGACGCTAAACTCACTAGAAATCATACTCTAAATCTTCAGAGCTAAACCCCAAAATCCAGCATGTCATAAGTTCTTAACCCCTCACCCCAATCTTAGGAGCAGCTATGTCCCAAAATCCAGCAAATCATAAGTTCATAAACCCTCGCCCCAAGAGCCGAAGCCTTTATATACGGTTTAGGGTTTGCGCTAATCCTTCCACCGAAAGCCGTAGAGCCCTCAAGCCACTCTTCTTGTAGAAGCCTGAGTGGGCGTAGCTGCAATTATCCTTGGCTGACTTCTGAACCCCTCCTAAAAGTTAAACTTTTAGCCTCCTTACTATAGTTCATATAGAAGCCCAAAAAGTTAAAGTCTACAGAGCCAACCAGAAGAACGCCAAGTATCTTCCTTAGCCGGTTTAGGGTTTAGGGCCTTAGCTAGGGTATGGGGTTTAGGGCCTTAGGGTTTCGGGTTTATAGGGCCTTAGCTAGGGTTTAGGGTTCAGGGCCTTAGGGTTTAGGGCCTTAGGGCATTAGGGCCTTAGGCCTTAGGGTTCCATAATATGATACTTGTCCACTGCAAAAAATAACACCATTCTCATCGTTGAGGCTCGTTTTGGCGGTAGAAGGGCTGCGGGCCTAATCTGCATTAGCTTGAGGTTCTCGAATGCTTCATAGTGGCTTTGCAAGGGGTTTGTTGGGATCTATCGTGCGTTACGGGCCGTTTAGGCGTGCCTCGTTTATGATTAAGTGTTTTGAACACTCCACCGGGCATTTCACTCACGGCTTCATATTGGAACTCTCGGGGGGATGCGACGCCTTGTGGTTTGGGGGTTAGGGGTTTTACCTGCAGCTGCAATCTCCATACTTAGATCCGGAAAGCAGCAGACCATTGGAGTCACTGAGGCTTTTATCTAGAACGGACGCAAACAAGCGTCGCAGGTGTAGCGTTGAGGATATAGCTTTAACTATCAGAGATGGGTACTACTACTACGTCGGATACCCCTGAGCTGCACTCACTGCTGTAGCCTGAGAATGAGAAGCCGTGCGGAGGGAGCAGTGGCAGAGTAGCTACAGTAGGTCTTTCTGGTGCGCAACTTAGAGGCGTTTACTAGTAAATGGAAGAGTGTCCCTTTGATGGCTTCTGTTTGGATTCTTTACCCGTTCTTAAAAGGTTCTATCGAATTGTAAAGAGGCATTTAATGATTAGAGTGAGGTCTTTTCAGGATTGCATAGGGTGTTTTTATAGGCATAGGGCTATAGTTATTGTACCCAGAACCCCATGTACACTAACTATCCATGAACCTCCAAGTAATATGATCATAGTCATCAAACCCTAAACCTAAACCCTAAAACCCAACCCCTACAACCAAGGGTAAGAGGAGGGACCCTTAATGAGGACCCCTAGGTATATACCCTTAATATAGCTATTATACACCCAATATATAGCCCATTATAGGGTAGGGGTCCCCATTGAGGGTCCCTCCTTCTCCGCTTCGACCTACACCCTGATAACTACACGGGGTTCTGTAAGGGCACCGGGGCCCCTAACCCCTAAACCCTATTGATTACAGGGGGTTCTATAATAGGATGGGGCCCCCAACCCCTAAACCCTGATAATCACAGGGGGTTCCATAATAGGATAGCGCCGCCCCTAAACCCCCAAACCCCTACATTAATTGCAGGCGGTTCTATAATAGGAACCCTAATCTAAACCCCCAAATCCCAATGCAGCTGGTGGGTGGGTGGGTTAGTTCTACACTCTACACTGTACACCCTAAAGGCTTCCTTTAAGGCTTCCCTGCACTGTTCCGTCAAGGGTTCCCTAGTCCCCTTCAGGGTTCCCTATTTCCTTTAAGGGTTCCTGCAAAGGTCTGAAAGTTTAGGAGGTTTCAGGGCCAAGTTGGGTAGGGTTTGTTTCAAAGGGGAAAGCTCCAAACCCTGGAGGTACAGGGCATTGGTGCAGTAGGTGTCCATTTCAACGGTCTGCGAAATTTTATATACTTGTGGCTATATACTGAACGAGAAGGGAAATCACCAACCTGGTGTTATGTTTCACGATATGTAACAGGGGTTTGTACGGCCTTTGAATCCTCCCAGAACTTTCTAGAACTCGGAACCCGAGAGAGCGGTCTGACATCAAACTTTTTGTGAATAAAAATCATTGCCGAGTCAGCGCTAGCTGTGGGAGGAGGAAAAGGAGCAGGAGCAGGAGAAGGAGAAGGACGCGGCGGCGCAGCAGCAGCAGCAGGAGTCTAGACACAGCGGTAAAAAATGAAAAACCAGCAGCAGCAGCAGCAGCAGCAGCAGCAGCAGCAGCAGCAGCAGCAGCAGCAGCAGTAGCAGTAGCAGTAGCAGTAGCAGCGGCAGTAGTCGTGGTAGGAGTAGTAGGTGGAACAGTAGTCGTCATCGTGGTCGTCCTCGAAAACCTTCTTCAACCTGCAAAGATTATAGATCGTGCCTTAAACTCGTAAACCCCAAACCCTTGCCCCATCTCGGTCCGATGCAGAAGCGGCTAATGGCGACGGCAATGAAGAGGGAAGCGCCAAACCTTGCCTGTGGAAGCTTCTTGCAGCGACGTCGCTTCATATAGGGTCCTCAACAATGAGAATAAGGTTGCGGGGCCCATATTTGTTTTACTTAGAATAAGGAACCACAAAAATCATATAGGTAATTCTTAAGGCTCCGATAGCAATTAGTTGCGGTTGAGCAAGATCGAAGGTAGTTCTCTCGAAGTAGTTCAGGGCCCAACGACAGCCTTCTGACGCATACACCGATACGTGGCCATACCCGAAACCCTAAACCCGAAACCTAGCTCACTCTAACTTCACCGCAAGCGCCACTGCCACTCTAATGCTGGTTACTTAGAGGATCTTGGGAGCTAGTAAGTAGCTTATAATTGGGGCTATAAGTCCCCTAAGTGGGGTTATCCTAGTTATAACCTACTTATAACCTTACTAACTAAGTCCCATGAGCCTTCATGTAGTCGTATCTGAACTCTTTTTTGTCCTCGCGCTCGTGTTTGCGTTTGCGCAAGCGCAACATCGCTCACGCACCGTTTTGGGAGTCAAGGCGGCAAACACGCGGCCAAGCCGCCCTTCGGCTCGCCTGCCCTTACCTCCCGTTCAAATGAAGAACGCCACGGCAAGCGCTGAGATTGAAAGGCATATGGCAACGCGTTATAAACCCCAAATCCTAAACCATTCGGCGCTCAACAACAACGACGACTCCCACTCATGGTGCTTCCACTCCGTCTCCTGCTCCTCTTGTTCTTGCTTGTGCCTGCTAACGCTACCACTACCACTACTTACTGCTGCTAATGTCAGTGCTCCTGTTCCTACTGCCGATACAGCTACTGGTGTCGCTGCTACAGCTTCTGCTGCTGCTGCTGCTGCTGCTGCTGCTGCTGCTGCACTACTTCTACTCCTACTTCTACTCTCTACTCTCTGCTCCTACTCCTACCACCACTAATGCACACCACCACTACAACTACTTCTCGTGCTCCTGCTCCACCTCCTCCTTCTCTGCCGCCTCCTCTCTTGGGTCGACCGATGAAACTCAAGCTGCTGGACATGGAAATAGGCTCTGGGGTGTAAGGGACCCCTGAGCCGTTGAACTATTCGATTTGCGGTTTAGGGGGATACGGGCTATTAAGCTTTGAGAGCTTAGGGATTCTCGGTCCAAGGATGTAGGCTCTGTAGATTTACGGCCTTCACGGTACGCTGCCATGGTTTGCTCGGTTTGGCCCATGACTTTGGGTTACTCCAAAGTTAGGGCACTGAGTGGGTGAAACATGAAGAAATCTTCGATGAGGTAGTCGCTTTTTCCAACAGAGAGCAACAGTGACGGAGCAAGGCATGGCAAGCAGCTGAAGCGAACCCGTATCGAACGCCCTGAACTACAAAGCGCGATGCATACACAACCCAGAGGCTCCACGTACCTTTATAGTAGATACTTAAGCCTCAAAGGGGTCCCTATATAGGTACTTTAAGGCCTAAGTATCTACTACATGAGTCTTAGGGCAAGATTCCATGCACCCATGAGCTACTTCACCCCCAGGAACTGTCTCGGAGGCTCTCCAATCCTCGGGTCAGGGGCCTTTGGGGTTTCAGGGGTTACTTGAAGGCTCATGGGACTTAGTAAGTAGGGCTTATAAGGGTCCCTTTTAAGGTATAGAGGGCTCCCTTTAAGGATTAAGGGTTTAGGGACTACTTGAAGGCTCATGGGACTTAGTAAGTAAGGATATAAGTAGGTTATAATTAGGATAACCCCACTTAGGGGACTTATAACCCTACTAAGTCCCATGATCCTCTAAGTAGGGCACATGTCCTTAATGCCACCGGACGGTCGTCTGGTGTTCCCTGCCCTGCATGTGTCGAAGCCTCAACGAATCGCACGAGTACTTTCTTGCAACTTCCTCACTCGAAGGAAGCCAGAAAAGTGTTTGTCGCAATCGCTAAGAGTCACTTGTGACTTGGAGCGGCCAGAGCACTCTAGTTCGGCATTCAATTATTCGGACCGACAGTTTGCGTCGTTCGGTTCGGGGTCGGTGTCCGGTTTCAATTTACAGGTTCTTCAACAATGCCCCGATGCATCATGCAGAGCATGCGCTGGTTCTTGAATACGCGATAGAGGAGCGCCATGACCACGGTAGGGAGTCTCATTTCCTTCATTCTGCCAGAATCCAAAACCTCAGTTGCCACTTTGGAGTTTCTGGGTTTGGGGGCACGCGGCTTAAACTTTTTAATCAACATACGAGTTGTTTGTCGGGAAGCTGTTACTTGAAGCGTACTGGTAGCAGCAAGCTTTAAGATCGCTGTCGCAGTGCCCAAAGCTGTGCTCAAAACATACAGCCTCAAAGGGGAAAAGGAGGGACCCTTAATGGGGACCCCTACCCTACAATGGGCTATATAATGGGTATATAATGGCTACATTAAGGGTATATACCTAGGGGTCCCCATTTAAGGGTCCCTCCTTTTCCCCTTGGACAGCCGAAAGAGCCGGACTCCTGAACCCTAAACCCGAAACCGGAACCCCTAAACCCTCAACCTTCAACGTACTGTAGGGGCTTTAACAGGGTTCTTGGTGGGAGCCTTATATGAAAGTTACAGCATAATATACACCCAAAGCCCTATTCTAATTGCTAAGGCCCCTCTATTACCCTAAACCGTAAATGAGCCCCACACTCGAAGCCCGAAACCCTCAAGCTTCAACATACTCTGCCCAATCCCTGTGTCTGCTCCGCTCCAAGTCCGTCAATGAAGGGATGCCAACATGGCAAGTGCAGATCGATTTTGGGGTGTGGTTGTCGCAGGAGGCCAAAACCAGAAGACAACTTCCGCAACAGATACAGCAGAGAAGGGCAACAGTGATTCACATCACATAGTGCCAAACAAACTAGTGCGAAACAACCTTGGCCAGAGGCCAGCGGTGACCGTGCAATCGAATTGCGCTAAATGTCGTGGCTCGGCTACCAAACTACTAGAACCAGTCCTACTATGCTCGTAGTTGAAAGTGTGAGGATCTGGGTTGAGGGTTTGGGATTTGGGTTTAGGGTTTAGGGTTTAGGATTTAGGATTTAGGGTTTAGGGGTTGCTTGGGAGGGCTGAATTCAATTATGGGGAAACACTGCCAAGTACTTAACGAAGGGTGAGTATGTTATGGTTCTGTCAAGAAGCAAGCATAGTAATGCCAAAAGCACGAATAAAGCGGATACCAAACTTGCTGATACAAGTTTCTTACAGCAACATGAACGCACGGAAAACTATTCACGGCAAAAACGAACATAAATTTACAGGAACCTTAATAATCGAACAGCGAATAACAGATATGATGCCACTAGTCTCAACAACGGCTAACCACCTCTACTACAACATCAAACTTTTTGGGGTCAAGCCCGTGCCCCCGAAACAGGTTCCGAAGAATTGGGCTCGATGAGGCTATGCGACACCCGAGAAACCTGACCCCTAATCTCAAACTGTACAACCTCTACAGTAGAAGCCCAAAAGTTGAAAACCCAATAGCCTCAATCCTTATATAAGAATACTGTATAGGAAATCCCAGCACTATTTGGCCTTGATCCGGTTTCCAAGTTTATGGGGTTTACTGTAAACCCTACACGAGAAGAGGTAGCATCGCCACATACGAATCGACCCGTCTGACGGAGTTGATGCACGTACCCTGCATCATCCATGGTGTCTATCAGTGTCTATCAGGCATACTGTGGGGGCTTTAGGCTACTTGAAGGTTCATGGGACTTAGGGACTTATAACCCCAATCATAACCTACTTACTAAGTCCCATGACGCTCTAAGTATTTTACAAGCTTGCACAAGGGTTTCCTGGCGGTTCTCCTGGACGTAGAAGCAACCTTGTCGAATCCTGCTGTGATCTACGAAGGCCTAGCAGTGCTTCAGGATTTTGCCCAACTGTCAAACTGAGAATATAACCTATATAGCTGCCACACCTTAGGGTACAAGAACCTCATGCAATAGCGAATCCTGCAAACCCAAAGCAACAACCCTTAAGCAATGCAGGAGCTCGTCCATCAACAGTGCGAATCAACAGTATGTAACTGTCACCGGCACATAAATGGCACACGGGAACGGGTCGTGGTCCTCATGTGCAAGGGGCCTAGACGAAAGGACCATGGCGGTCGCATTCGGCTATCGAGGCATATCACCAGAGCACCCCTCACAAATCAGACCTTCGTAATTCTTTCTTATGTATGTCCCTCGGTTTCAAAGCTGATAGGATTAGGGTATACTCGATACTTCAGGGCCGATTCCTTGACTATGGCACAAGGGGCAACCTGGGTGATTATGCTTGCGGCATTTAAGCCACAACGCCGTCCTGCTTTGTCATGTCGCGCGCACTCGCGCTTGACCCCGGCACCTACGCTTCGTTAGTATTTCGGGCTGTGCGAGTCACAATGGAAGCTCGTTTGAGATAGAATCCTATCGCAAAGCAGGCTCGGGCATGTTCATCAGATTCGGTTGTCCGACAATCCGATGAAAACTTCTGGTTCCATGAATCCGAAGCCCAAATCGGCTTCACAGATCAATCAGCACTCGATAGCCCGCCGGCGCCTCCTAGCAGAACAGCAACTCTCAACACTGGCTTAGGGCCAAGAGCCTTTGGGCTTCGGGCTTTCGGAATCTAGGCTTCAGGGGCTTAATATAGGGGCTTTAATAAATAGAGTAGGGTTTCGGGGCTCATTGCACTATACTTTTAATAAGCAAACCCCAAGACAGTGTTGGTGATTATGCAGGCCCCTATAGTCTATAGTCTATACCCCCCTTAGAACCATAACAAACATATGAACGAAAATAAAAAATCCTAAGGATACTGTAGTAGTAGGCTTCGGGGGTTTATGGAGATTGGGCCTAGAGTCTCTTAGCTTTTACAGACACATCGGCCTTGGAAACAGGGGGCTTCATGCAAATGCTTGACATGAGCAGGGAACTTCCTATGGCTCTCTGGCTAAACACCTCGGCCCAGAAAAGTTCAGACTGTCTGAAAGAGACCAAATATGCAGGGCAGGAATTTGCCAACAAG